CTTCTCCCTCTGCCTGCAGCGTTTATTCTTCTGCTGTCTAAGGTTAACACAGCTGGAAATAGCCACTGAGAAAAGCGAGCATCACCAGGTGCTTTATGAAATGGTGGCTACTTCGTGGTAAAAAGGCTGTTAGAACTCAACAGGCAGCATCTGCACAGAGATTCCTGCAACCTTCTAGAACAAAACCAGAGTATTTTTCCCACAAAGGGAGGGAGGAAAAAATAATATTAACATTTTCTCCAATCCACAGTCAAAAGTATGAAAAAATTAGTGCAAAAGAATACTATTACGCTGATATGCGTTAACTTTATTCAAAGCACTAAGTCAGTTACGCCATGAAACCGAAGGAACAGCGCAACGAGTGTATTTGACGGTGCAGTTTTAGGCGTTACTGGGAATGTTGAATGACAATAGTGCCACCTGGCGTTACTAATGTAGTTTGAATTCCTAGAAAACTACGGAGAAAGTATTTCCTGTTTCTTTCACCAAAAATCATGTTTTATTAGCAGGATTTTGTAATTATTACTGTGGACGGGAACTGAGGGACTATGAAGACGAGGTACCTAGACCCAGAAACTCACACTAGAATTTGTGTTGGCTACAGCTCGTCAGGGTCAGTTTTCCCCAGATCCCCACAGGGTGGGAGCAGAGTTGCGAGGCCCTTCTCTCATGTCCAGCTGCTACTGCCATTAGATTCCTGTTAACAGCGTGTTTTGCAAGATTTCACTGAAGCATAATAAAAATACACTTCCAGCACACACCACCATGCGCAAGCAAACATCCGAGCGCTTTACGCAAGGGCAGGCTTACAGCAAGTCAGCAAGGGCCGCTGTTGGCGGAGGCTGCCAGGGCTCCCCTGGGCCGCCTGCCGCCCCGCTAGCCAATAAGAGGACGAGGGGAGACGCCTGCAGCCAACAGGAGCGCGGGGCTGCCGGGAGGGGCGGTGCCGGGGTGGGGCGTTACCGGCGCGGCCCCAGGCGCGCGAAACGGGGCTCTTCGGAGAGAGGTTGGTTGAAAAGTTAAATTTAGCATTGTCCGACATTTTAAATCCTGAACGATTCCATTTTCCCTTCTACCCATTACACTGTGACATGCAGGTAAACATGGCTGCACAGGCTGTGGGATGGCGGCTTAGCACCCCTGGGCCTGCCCAAGCAGTGCGGGCAGGGAAGGGAGGCAGGGTGGAAAGCAGATTCTTGGAGCTACAAATGATGATTTCTAAGAGTTTTTTTCCCCCTCTCCTAAATGCAGACATCAGCCTCCATTAACCTAATCCACAGTCTTAAGTCTGTGCCACACCATACTGTTGAGAGGCAGAGTAGCAAGGAAGATCTGAACATGCACTGGTGAGGTGCCCAGAAGTTTTCACCCTGCACCAAAGGGAAGCAAGGCAGTGGCACTGAAGCAGAACACCTTTCAGTGCCTCTATAGTCTCACAGACCTGAAGCCTAGCTCCCACTCCGGCTGAACGTAAACCGGGTTTTAGGTGCAGAGGCAAGATCTACAGGATCCCGCACAGGTTATACAAGACAGTGTAGCTAGACTAATTAAGAACATTCACCAAGGTGAAGGGAGTCCTGCTTTCCTGTTTCAAAACAAAACCTAAACAGGTTACTATGCAGTGTGAACCTTCACCATTTACTTGCGTAGCCAAGTGACGAGATCAACCTTGATCCAATTTTCATTTTTTAGCTTCAGAAGCATATGTGAAGTTACTTATCTGTGAATTGAGCTCATGGTCATTATTTAGATCAATCACTTCTCCAGCAAATAGGAGGATCTAGAATAACTGCTACATACCTTCTCCTCTACTTGGCAGTATACTTTTAACAAGCGTTCCCTTTCCACTGGCCTCCAAGCCTCACTCTCAAGGCCTAGATTTAAATGCATGGACAAACTTAATCAACAAATATTTAGTAAATTAAGGATATATAGTAGAAGTCTGAATTTATTAGAGGTTAATTTTCAAATAAAAATTCTCAATCACCCAACTACACTGGGAAACACCAAAACTGATGACATTAAAAAGTTCTTCAGTGGTTCCAAGTATCATTTGATATGAGAAAACAACTTGCCTTCTTATTACGCTCTTAAACTTTAATTTTTCAACTAGCTTCTAGTTCAATGTACATTAGCAGAGCTAAGGCCGAAAGCATCTTGCTTACAAGCGGCTTTGCAACTGAATCTCACAAGTTGTTTTCCCAACGTATTTCCTCATATCCCAGTAGACTACTATTTTGAGGGAGAAAGACGAGTTAGACAGTCCTTCACTGTATTCAGAGGGAAAACAAATTGCATATGTAATAGGAACAAATTTTCAGATACTAATGTTCCAGCTTAAACATACCACATATTGCGGATTGGTCTGCATTGTCTGGCAACTCATGACAAATTTTAGAGAGTGAAACAAGGTTTATTTTCCTTATGCAACCACTGTGGTTCCTAACCCAGTGGCGGCAAGCATTCCCCCTGAGAACAAAACACTTGTCTCCTTGTACAAGACACCTGAATGGCTTTAAGTTCTACTCATGGTTCTATGCAAATTCCACAATAAAGGTAAGTATCAGATGCATGCAATAAACATACTGACATGTCAGGAACTATTTTCATCATTAATCTGTTAAACTATGAACATTATTCCCTACCCCCCACCGATAAAAAAAGGCTTTGTTAGACAAGACAATTGTATTGAATTCACTTTCTTTTATTGCAGTGACATCCCCCTGGTACAAAGTATTAACTGCAATAATTACGTTAAAACATTAGAAAAGCATTTGTGTGTGACAGTTACAGTACAGTATCAAATCTTACATCTTCAAACCCAAGTGGGCCATTACCCACTAACGCTCAAATCTTTAAATTATTTTCAGTTATTTTTAAATATGTAATGCCAGAAAAAGCATATAAAAAGAATGTATGTAAAAGGAAACCTAAATACAAATATAAGTGAACAAATAAATAATTGATTTTCTCCAGCTATTACTGTCTTTCTAAACCCACACAAAGAAACCTAATCTATAGAAGGTATGAAATTGCCATGTGTAAGTGATTTCATTTTTCAAGTAATTAATAATGATTGGAACATAACTAAATTTGGCGTCAAAATCAAAGCAGAAGTTGGAGTGACTGCCACTAACTGAGATCTGCTGCAAACAATTACCATTAACTGTTGAAATTTTAGTGTAGCAAATAAACTTGAAACTTGACCTCGTGCCTAGCGTTAGCGGGCTTCTGAGAGTGCATGTGAAAAGCATTCTACGTTATTTCACAGACATTACCTTAACTATCCCCATATGCATATTTAGATATATTTTATATAATTTTATACACATATATGCATGTATACACACACTTCATTTGGTTTGTGTTACAGATCACAAGCAATGGTTTCCTGAATGGGCAAAAAACCTTTTAAATAAGTGTACCTGTGCACATTTTTTTATTTGTTTTTAAGATAGCAGCACTAAGTCCATGCCTTACTGTCCATCTGTTCAAAAGAATGTAACCCACAAAACAAGAAGAAACATGGCAATGATTCCATATTCACAATGTGACATCCTTATCTCCTAAAAAATGCTGTAAAACCTGTGATAGGTATGTTGGTAAGTTTGATCCCCACCCCCTCACCTGGAAGGAAACAGCACTTTTACTGCAAACTGTCTCACCTTATAATGTTTATCGTAACAAGCTGGGTTCATGCTGGCATCAGTTATCTCACACTTAGCAGCAAAACATGCATGTTTATTTTTCTTATTTTTTTTTTAAAGTGAAACAATTCAATAGTCTCAAATCCAATTGACAGAAACAGCAAAAAAAGATTTTTTGCAGTTTACCAAGAACTTGACAACAGTGTATACTGCCCTGTGTAGAGTATTTTTATCTTTAATCACAACAACTTGAAGCTCTACCTTGCCACACAATGATTATGCTTTGTCCTTCAAAAGGAACAGTTACATTTCAATTTGATCTTGTATTTAGCATAAAAATACACCTTTTCTGTGCGTCCTTAAATGAAAGTCACTCAACCACTGGTATACCGATCGAGTAGCATGTCCAATGCTAATATCAAAAGCTTGTGAAATGTTTTTAGGCAATCCTTTCTATCCAAAATATATTAGGAATTTAAAAAACAGTTCACATTACTAACCTTTATACAAAGGCCCAAGTGAAATTTCTTGTGTAGGTGTTCATAGTAGACTAAATTATGAAGTTTTCAAAATATACAATGAAAGGGCACACAAGATTGGCAGTTTCTTTATTGAACATAGAAAATGTATAAAGTAGGATGTATGGAATAGATCTAAATTGCTAGATGATCAAACCTGAGTATTATTTAATAAGACTAAATGTATTTTCTGACAGCTGAATGAATTGACCTAAAAACATCTCCCCTAGTAACTAGTGGTCCTTTTAACCATTTGTTGAAAAATGCGAGAGAACTGTAGCTTTTACATTTCATATTGGATAGCAAGATTCCACATAGTGTTTACTGTTTTCTGTTAGATAGCATCACATTGCTTATATTATCCCCATTCAAGCCTTAAGTTGAGTTTTGTTTCAAAGTAAGTTGAAAGTGACACCAAAACATAATAGGCCAAGAATTAGGACAGGTCTTTTTCTCTTCCTCTAATTTGTAGTAAGATAAAAAGCCTCAGCCACTAAGATGAATTCGGTTTCATATTAGAGCTACAGAGCAAAGATTGACCAGTATCCTTCGCCAAGGTAACTGATGTTAGCTATGTATCTCAGACTAGTGCCAAAGTAGTACAAATTGTCAAATTTCAGAAAAGGATCCTCTCTGCTAGTAGAATTAGTTTTATTTTAACTGTTAGAGAATTTAGTAGCATGAAGTCTTGACAATAACATCAGAAATTTGTTTTAGTTCAACTGACCTGCCCCAATTCTCACCTTTAAATCTAACAGATATAATAATAAAAATCCAAAAACTTTCTGACAGTAGAAAACATACAGTACTAAGAACTAATAGCTCAATGGAAGACTGAAAAGCAGCATTCATTTTTATTGTAATATGGAAGAGACTAGAAACTAAACAAAGTCTGATCTAAACTCTTAGTTGAAGGCAGATTTTGACATTCTATATAAATTTACAAAATAGGATGTATGGATGAGATTTGGTTAATTTCAGAAGGCACCTCAAGGCTAAAAGGCTTTTATAAATCTATAATCCTTTCATTGATCAAAAATAAAACATTTTATTGCTGCTATTCAAATAGCAAACAAAAAGCTTGTCTTGTTCTTCAGTCTAACAAGGAATCCTCCCCCATTAAGCAAGATTAAATTACAGAAAATATAGACTAAAACTGAAGATGTCACAACTTTAGAAATACAGTGACTTTCCTTGTGTGCTTTCAAGTCAGTGAAATAGTGAAAGAAGAGTCACTTTTTGCCTTTGTGATGTTAATAAACTACAGACCATGTCAGTCACTCTGCCCTGGGCACTGGAGTACCATTTCATCATAGCTGTCCCATGTGCAGTACTCTTAGGAATAGAAGGTAAGAACACTCTGATGATTCCCACGAACAAGGAGAATTGGTGGCAGATCTTTAGAAAGAGCTTCTAACCAGGCCATGTATAGTGCACTAGAAACCGCACCTTTTCGTGCAACTGGCAAACTCCTGTAATTCACAAGTAAAAAAAAGCATTCAACAATTAGAAAAACCTAGTGGAATACAAGTCCTATCATATAAATATGAAAGTATGATTCTGCAAAGAGGTAGATATTAAGTCAAATTTCCTAACCTTTTTAGTTTTGGTTTTTTCCTCACAATTCAGTTAATGAGTTGAGAGTTTGTATCTCAAGCACCACAGGCCTTCACATCTATTTACCCCTCACTTTTAGCTTCTTACCACTGTTTTGTATTCAGGTAGCTTCATGGAGAATTCTCCTCAGTTAAAGACAGTTTCTTGAAAGACTCTTCAAGATTTTAAAATACGGGTTTTTCTTATGATGCCAGGTTGGTGCAGTCTAATATTCCTTCTCACAATCCTTCCACAACATGCCATACTCGTTTTCTTTTGAAAAAAACTACTCTATTTGCCCTACTCAAACTTCACTTTTAGTACTACTTCATGGAGCTCTGAAGCAGGCTCCTAAACAAAGACACAGAGAAGAAACCTATGATCTGCGTTCTGCTTGTTTACACCAAAAGTAATTCCATGGAAATCCATCAGCAAGATGATGATCTAACTTTATCTAGAGATATTTCCTAGAAAAAGAACTGAAAGGAAGGACCTGAAAGAGAGGGGAATAGTTGGCATGCAGGAGTGGAAGGAATGTGAGAATCCGGAGCAGTGCTACAAATGTGGAGGTAATCACCTAAAGCAGTGTATCAGAACCATGAAACTACACAGGCCATTTTTCATTCATCGGTATAGTAGCTCCACACTTCTAATAAATACTTTCAGCACTCAAACCTCCTGGAGTGTTTCTATACTTTAATGTCAAGGCATAGGCTTTTTCCTAACCTCTATTTACGTATATTTATATTTCAAATTACAGTTCTGTATCAGTTAGGATAACAGTACAAATAATTTACTTACATGACAATTATGTTAGCTGTACTTGAATGTTCTTTCAGCAACTCATTTAGCCTAATCTGGCGGTAAGTCTGTAATTAAAATGAAACTTGTTAGGAGATCTTTTATATAAAACTACAAAAAGTTCATTTATTCAAGAAAAATGAAAAACACCTATGATCAAGTCGTAGGAGTCATTTATAGAAAGCATGTACTTCGCCTCAGTTTGGGAATTTGTTCACTTTTCTGAAATACCTATGGTTGCAAGGCTGAGAGAGAAGAAAGCAGTAAGCTTAAAATGTGCAAATAAGCCAAGTACTATGAAAGCTAAATTTAAGATAGTCCCTCTAATAATACCATCCTCCATAGCTCCTGGAAGCAAGAGCCCCTTACGCCCTCTTCAAGGGTCTTTTAACTGTATCCTGTAAGCTCACAGTGAGCAGGTCTTACAGAAGTAAAGCCCTATCTTCACTTGGTAAGCCTACCTTCATAATGGGCCTCCCTTTTTTTACTACCCTATTCTGTCTTAACATCTGAGGTAGCTTCCTCAGTAATTTTCAGTTCTCTTTTATATCAGCTAACTTTCCAGCAAACATTTTGGGTTAACCATTGCTTGTAGTTCTGTTGTTCTCAGATGACCTGAAGTCTAGTTAGCCTGCAGGATAGCATCTGCATAAACAATTAAGCTATCAGCAGACAAAAGAATAAATCACTTCAGTTATCTCACTGAAATGAGTTTTTGCAGTGTTTGTACACATGAGGAACAGCAAGGCATCAAGCAGTTCATTAAATATAAAGTAATTGTACTTTACAAAATCTTGTCCCCCAGCCCCTTTGTAATATGCAGTTAAGAGACCTCAGCAGCAGCTGCCAGTCAATCCGTACCTACCTGTTAAACAGATTCTTGCCTTTTTTTTTTTTTAAACACTTACAATGCAGAATGACCTATCATTCCCATTTCTTCTCTATTGCAAATCCTCACAGAACTTGTAAAACCCAGACAATAAAAAGCAGATAAGGGTGGAATATACTCAGGACCATCTTGAAGAAATTCAGATCACTGAAACTTTAACCAGTCTTTCTTTAGATACTTGTCTGTTATAAGATGCTACCTGAGTCTCCTCCATAGAAGTATTTGAGAAGGAATACCTCTGATGTCTCTATAGTGCACAACTGCTTGGGAAGAATGACAAACCTTTAATTGCTCCTTAACATCACGATTAGATGCGGTGTGTTTTGGGTTTTTTTAATAACAAAGCAAAAAATGTTAGTTTGGTCAAAAAAAAAAGTCAACAGCTGAATATAGACTATATTATTCTACCTAAATGGTTTTAGATGCTCCTTTCCATCAGCTATTCATAAAAACAGATATGGAAGAGAGAGAATAACAAAAATGAACTCACTGATATCACATTCACAAATGCAGGAGAAAAAAGTTTACACGACATTTAACATAACACTAAAGAATACAGAACCTTTGTTTTGTAAAGCTCAAGTTCATTATCTGTTATCCTCCATGGTTCATCCTCCTTCATTTTATCTGCAACTTCTTGTTCTTTATCATCTTCATGAAGTCGGAAGGGCTCTATCATTTCTTCAAAAGCTGCAATACTGGAACGATTAAGTGAACAGCAATATTAAAACAGATATGAGTCTATACATCAGCAATGACTTTCATAGTATCAGAAATTAAGTTTTACTACCATGTAAATAAAGTGAGCTGAAATATTTTCACTGCCAATTGCAGTTAGAACATCAAATCAGCTATTTGCATACGCAGACATTATAATTCAACAAACAATTAGGGACATCTGTAGGAGCTTTCACTGTTCATCATGCAACTAAAGTTCATCATGCAACTAAATATAAAGTTTTAGCCAGTTTAAAAAAAAAAAAACAAAACAAAAAAAAACCCCACACCACCAAATAACTTTTGCTAGAGTTTTACTATAATGGTTTGAAAGTTGGAGTACCACTTTAGAAAATGTATAGTGACTAACAGTAGCTTCTTCAGAACTAAATCTGAAAGAGGAGTTTACATGTCACACTAAAAAACACAGCTATCAAGTGTCATGCTAGTGCCATTAGGGTTTCGGCTTTGGTATTTTTATTTCGCTTCTTTTTAATCTTTCCAGTACAGTCCGAGAGCCACGTTCAAATGCAAACGACCATGGCCATCTTGTTTAGTCTCCTTGTTGCACTTGTTAGAATGAGGTGTTACTTTGAATTCACTTGAACTTTAGCAAGAACTTTGAAGAAAACCTTTTGAAGACCAAAGAGGCATTCACTTCCACTAGAAAGAACAACTTACATTATCCTACTTTCTCTACCCACATTAGGATACTTGAACAGCAAACAAAGGCTGCCACAAGTTATGAAATTAACTTGTCTTTGAATAGCCCCAGTATGTGACATGTGAGAAAAATAAACAAGATTTTTAGTAGAACACACTGAAATGTATGCCTTACATCCAATGAAATAACTGCATTTCAGTGTTATTTGAATGTTTTTTTAGAAAGATGACAAGGTATTGCCAATCTTCTGTGGTTCGAAATTACAGTGTGGAAAATTTAACAAACATTAAGGAAAACCTCTTGGGATATATTGTAGTATCAGTATGGGTAACGTGTTATCTTCCGTATAGTTAAACACTCCCCCATGCCCATTTTCTAACTGAGGTGTTCCCGTTCCTCCAGGAAACCCCCACACTATTGAAAAAAAACACCCAAATGAACTTTTTTTCTACCCTTGGCAGTCTTTACTGAAGTTAGTTGTTACAAGGACTTCACCTTCATCAAAAGGGAAAAACCAAATGTGATCTGCTATTTTTTGGCTGAACAAAAAGAAGCATTAACAATATTCTATTATACAGCACAGCAACTGTTAAAAACAAATAATCTTTCTCCACTTAGTTTACAGCTATTGCTAATGCCAACTGGTATCTTAGAAAGGTCTTGGATATATTGTGGGGAATATATGATCATTCCTGTGTAAATTAGAAATCCAAGCAATTTTTACCAAGACATTTTTAAAAAAAAAAAAAAAAGAAAGAAAAAACAGATCAGGCTATTTGAAGACCAAGCTTTGTTACATTAAAGTAAGACTCCAAGAGAAAAAAAGACCATTTAAGTTTTTGGGAGCATTTCCCTTTTTAAAGAAGATTGGTCCAGAAATATTGAATTTTTTTAAACTGTATTTTTCTAAATTTAACATTACAATCTAAGGGTAATAGATTTAAAACATACAGAATTCTATGTTCTTGGACACAGGAGTTATTGCTTCATTTATTTCCTGCGTATTTGTGAAACACTGGATATCACAGGAACTACTCTATCAAAATTGCTACATAGGAAAGAATGAATTATTTTAAATTCCCAAAAGACATCAAGAATTCAACTAACAAAGAAGTTGGGTTTTTTTTGAGACTTACTTTTCTTTCTTTGGCTTAGTATTAATATCCCCAAGAACCATAATGTCCGAGAAGTCTATCCGAAATTTGCTGAGCAAAGTAGCCATCCTGTATCAGAAAAACAAGCCTTTATGCATGATGAGATTTTTAATTGTTTCACAGGGTAAACAGATAGGTGTTCGGTAATAAAAACACTAGATTAAGAAAAAAAAAAAAAGGCAATTTAAATGCAATAGGAAAAAAAAAAAATCAAATAGACCTGGCATACAGTTATAAATCAACATCATGCTTTGGAAAAAAAAAATTAAAACCATAAAACTAAGAGAACAGCTCTCTTAAAGACAAACCTCAGAAATATTTGACAAGTAAAATGATAATGTCAGACAATGCTGCAGAAAAACTAGTTTAACATAAGGTATCCCATCCAAAACAATCTGAGGGAAATGGAACTTTTTTTGGAGAAATGGAATAGAATATGAATAGATATGAACTGATTAAACCTCAACCAAAGAACAACTGAAAGAAGGCTACTAGAAAGACAGTCATCTACTGTGTAACATGATCTACTAGAATTTGAAATGGAATTTTTAAAGGTAAGCTTACGCTCTTCTGTCATGATCAATCCTGTTTATTTTTCCACCAATGAACACTCTGATCTTACAGTCTTTCCACTTCTTCTTGGTTGTAAGAAGATACGGAATCAACAGTGTCAAACCTGCATTTTGACCAGAATTTGGGAATGATTCACAAAACATAGCATTGTTTTAGAATGTAATAGTACAAATTAGTAATCTATATATGAACTGACTGAAAGATGTCTATTAACAATTAATTTAAAATCACTTCAATAATTTTTTTTCAACATTTGTTTTTGAAGTATAAAGCACATTACCTCCATCATCAAAGAGCCACCAGACATCAATATTGCTTTTGCCTTGTTTCTTCTGAAACTGAGTACTAGCATCAAGAAGTCTTTGGTCAGCCAAGTTTAAAGGAGAAGATCGGCTCTTTAAATATGGAAAGAAGTAGAATGAAATTTCATTTTTTAAGCGTTTTGCTTAATCACCCTGAAATTCATCAAAAAGGCAACTTCTTAATATTTTGTGATATCTCTAAGTTTAAATAAAAATAGTTTCTTCCCCCCAACCCGACTCCAAATTTTGATTGAATGGATATAAACTGAGCTATATTTAGGGAGTCTGTAAACTAATAACATCAGCAGTTAAAGATTTAATTCTCTAAGTCATTTAGCAGATATTTGACAAACAAAGGATCTGTAAGATCTTTATACAGTCATTTGCCTCGACAATTTAACTAACCTTGCACACATACTTCAGAGCATTAGGTCATGCACTGTTGCTATCTCTTGCATATGACAAAACTTCCCTAAAAACATGTAGATATAATTTACAAGTAAATACCATGTCCTAAGCAGTTTTCTTCTTTCCTTGAATCCATTTTTCTTTAAGTATATGGTAAGAATAAATGCTAGTTCTACGCATTGCAATTCTATCTTTTGGAACAAGTACTGTTTTGCACGTGCAAGGCTCCAAAGTACAATATACACTATTCTGCGTAGCAAAGTCATTGGATTTGCTGAGAACAACAACAGCATTTTCAATTAGATTAATAGAGGTAAATATATATTTTTTAAAACTATAGAAAAAACTAACCCCTTTCCCTTAATTAAAACCTTGGTTTGAACAAGAGCCAGGAGTTTGATATTCATCTCAGTCCTTATTTTATTAGGCATTTTTAAATACAGAGTACATCTGTGACTGATTTACATTAATATACTACTATACTGCACACTGGGACTTCTTTCAAACCACCATCTTGTGCTTCAAGATGTAATCTCACTTTCCATTATTAAAACACACCAGCTTCTAGCTGTTGAAATCATGAAGAAAATGTCAAAGAAGTTAGATGAATCTTAGTTAAGGCAAAAATATTTGCTTAACTCAAAAAAGTCTGAAATAAACCAGGAAGGGAAAACTGCTCAATTCAGGTCTCAAAATGCTGTTTACCTGAATGACTACTTTGCATTATTTCAGATGTTAATCTCACCGAGTGGCTACATTATACCTTAATTTTCAAGCTATTGAACAATTCCAAGTAACAGAGCAACAACTATGGCTTTAGAAAATCTACTGAATAGACTGATGGAGCACTTCCACTGTACCATTAGATAATATTTCCTTTACTCCTAAATCAAGTAAGGGCCAAGACAGATACCGAGACACAGAGAACTAAGCAAGCTCCTGAACACATTTCAAATGTTACTTAAGAACAAAAGTTTAAAAAAAAAAAAAATCCAACATTCATAGCTTAGACACATGCATAATCCTTTCTCAGAAGCAACTCATTCTGGAAATTCCAAAAGTTGCATTTTTCCATAGCCAAATCCCTAAAGATGAAGCACATTCCAAAGCAGATAAGAAGAAACAAGCTAACATTGCATGGCTGATATTTTCCTCTCTCTCATAGATATGTGTAGAAAGGAGTACAAAAGAAAAACTGAAATTAACAATGCGAAAGAATGATTTAACACAAAAAGGTGGAAAATGCCTGCCTTTTTTCAACAGTGGTTGTGTTGGAGTCTTTCCATCCTCGTCCTCCTCTGGAAAATTTTTAAAGATACAAAATAAAAAGGTTAAATTCCTTTGTGATGTTAATGAAAACACTACTAGTGTATATTAAAAAATTAGAAAATAAAGATGTAGAATGAAATGGATTTTCATACAAAGAAAAGCACACAAATGCAGTCTACCAGATCCTGAGATTTATTTGCACTTTAAAAAAAATTAAGCACATCACTCACTTAACTATTAAGTCACTCCAAGCTTTTACTTTAAAAGGAAGAGGAAAGTTGGTTATTGCCATGTGTAAAGTATCCTGAATGATTTGTGTCTGTTAACATGCATATAATATTCTATTCTGAGGTGAAAAAATCTCCATAAATTTAGCAGCCTTCAAATCACACTTAATATATAGATGCGTGGCATGATTCTCAAGCAAATTTTTACTACCTGTCAAGCTCATTAACAATGAAAATCCATTGTAGGCCATTGTCTACCACCTGTTTTATTTAGGGGACTAGACATGAAAGATTTATTTTACATACTGGTAAGCTCTAAACCAAAGTACGTAAATGATTAGACATCAGCAGCTAGAAAACCATAACACACTTCCATTCCATAAACACAAAAATTCCTTAAATAATTCCTTGGTGAGGGGAGAGAAACTGAAGAGGGAATGAGAGAGAGAGAAACAGTGAGAACTCAAATTTCATTGCTAACTAGCAAGTTACCTTTATGGAGAGTGGAAGTTCTTTCACTAGATGATGGAGCAAAAGCTATAGAAGTGTCTGTCTCAGCCTTCTTGCTATAATCCACTTTTATTATGACATCCTTGGTACATGGAGATTTTTCTTGGGATGACAGTAACTCTTCTTTGGGAAAGCAAAGAAACACATTATAAACCACTCAATTGTTCCAAATGGTATCAGTAGAGGTATGTGAGTATACTGAGATGGTTCACAGTTGGTTAAACTCTACTGCAACTGTTATGCTATGGCAAAGAGAGGGAGAGAAAAAAAAGCATAAAAACAACAACAAAAAATCTTCTATGAACTGCTTCAGAGTACAAAGAGGCACCTCCTCTGAGCAGAGCTGTAATTCACTGCTATTTCCTTCCTAAATTTTGGGCGTTGATTACATTACCACAGGCTAAACATAAAACAGAGCTAGCTAATACTGAGGAAGTACAAACAGGAGGAAAAAAAATTACCTGGGGAAAAATTTTCCATTTCCACTCTAACTCCAAGAGGAAGATGAGCCTTAGACAAGGCCCAGACCAAGTACGTCTCACAGCCAAGTTTTTTTTCCCAGGTTTGGCAGCAGCATAGCTACTTGGCTGCTATCAGCGTTAAGCAAACTCACAGTCCCTCAGCAGATACTAAGACTCCTCTGACACTTCAGTGTTATATTTCCTAGTCTTCCCAGCAGTGTTGTTTTCACACTGCAGGTTCACTCCTTGCTGTTTCTCATACTCCTCTGCCCTCTTGCACACAGTGACAGGCTCTCTACCTCTCTCCATCTTAAGACATTCCTATGTTTCCAGTGAAGGAATAACCCTCCCCTCTTTCAGGAGGATGCCCCTCTACATAAATTCTGTCACCAGCATTCTTCCTCATTGTAGCAATGTTGTATGGAGCAAGCCACAAATGATTTAGACATTATCAATTCAGTAGACAGTTGCCACCAAAGCTAACAGGCTTCCTTCATTATTCTGCTTGAAATTTAACTAAAATTATACCATTCGTCTTAAGACCACTACCTACAAAGCATAATCAAGCCTTCTACATTGAAAATAGAAAACCTTTCCAAACTTAAGAGAGACTACCGCTGAGGTCTCTGAACTAGTGTGTACAGGTTCACAACCTACACCAGACCCATAGCATTCTTGGATCATGCAACATTTGTTGTGATTTTCATAATTTCTGGACTTGGGTCCCAAATACTTGATACCAATTTGGCAGCTTCTTTGTTTCAGTAAAATAGTAAATCCTTGGGAAGAAACTATATACAGCTTACAAATACAGAAAGTTGAAACAGAAAACCAAGTCCTGTTGCTGAACATCGGTTATTCTTATTTTACATTTCAGACTTGCTAATTGCAGTGATTTTTATGCTATAAGAAGAGTGGTGGTTTCGTTTGTTGGGTTTTGTAATAACTTATCTTCATTTAACATTTTCAGAAAGCAGTATTAAAAGGGAACTTGAACAGCTATTCACCAGATAAAAGAAAATAAATCTTACCTTGGCCCTGAAGGTGAGAAATGTCCAGGCCCTCCTTTAGGCGGATGACAACTACACCATACTGAACGTCAAAGGCATCACTAAACAAAAGGAACGAAAAAATATTTTACAACTTTCTTTCCCAAAGGATCTACTTTACACACTCTCTGAACAAATTCCAGTGATTAAACACTACCGTTTGAACTCCCAAATCATAAATTTGTGTTACAATTTCAGTTTCAATTCAACTATCAAGTTGCATCAGTGAACTGAACACCATATCCTGAAAAGTAACACATAGAAAGCATATTTATTTCCTCTCCTCCCTCTCTCCCCTATGTAAACAGTGATTAAATAAAAGCAACATGAACAGGTCGGTCAAATTCTGCACAGATGATGACAAGGTACACTGAAAAATCTAAATTTTTAGCTCCCCCCCCAATGAATAAAGGGATTTATTTTGAGTAGGTCTCCTTGATCTGAGAACTAAATATTTCTGTCATCTTTCCAAAACATTTGGGTATTAAAAACACAAAATTGTAATTTAGAATCAAATTAGCTATAAGTTAGCTATAATGTATCTATTCCCATTATATCTGATGGGGAAGGAACTCACTCCTTTAAAAAATAGAGGGAAAACTTCATTATTGTAGAAACAAGCAAAAAGCCTGAATAAATGGGTAACTAGAAGTGGAGTAAAATGAAGGACAAAAAAACCCCCAAGATATAAGACAAAAAAACATGAACTTAACCATATCATACAGTTTGCATTAGCCATTAATCATCAGTCCTTTTAATATAAATACTTCATTACAAACAACCATAAATCAGAGAACTCCCTCCCATGTCATCTCCACAGACAGAAATTTCTCAAGATTTCACTCATTAAACACTTCTCTTTAGAAGTAGGAAGACTTGATTAGAAATGTTCAAAAGTATCAACATATTCTATAATAAATGCAAGAAAAATTGAAGTTGATTTAAGAAGAAAATGTTTTGTCCATTAGCAAACATTTTTAATTCATTATTTAATTTGTTATATCTGTACAGATTAGATATGTTTTATTGTGTGCTTCAGAGACTTTCAATTTTCCAGAGATTTTCCAGAAATACGCTTGACCTACAGTTATTACCTCCTGAGGTTTCTCTTTTGGGATGTGGAGAACCACATGACTTGTTGGCCTTCACAGATCTTCCAGCACAAGACATTCCAAAATAAAATAGGAAAAAAAGAAAAACCAAGAACTAACTAACATGTCTTCTTATTTTTCACTGCATTTGGTGCTCCTGCTGTTCTCTTAAGGAAGTGGGAGAGTGGGAGGGTATGACTTTTTTCCTTTTCTAATCTCTGCCTGTAAGCTCCCATCCTCTCTTTCTTTTAAATGCACAGTAAATGAGAAGTGTAAAGCACAAAACGAAGCTGGTTAAGCAGTACATACAGAAAACCAAAAATCCTCTGTATAAGTACAAGAAGCAAGTTCTGGTTTTCTTAAGTGTTTGTAGCACAAGTTATTCTATTAGATTTTTCAGCCAGAACTGGTCTGCCTTTCAGTGCTGTCAAATTACACTGGGATTTCCTTTTCCATCTCCTTTTAGGCTACTGTATTACTTTGGGTGTCAGTGCTGTGTATCTTGTAAGTAAAATATTTCTTGTATATGAGAGCAAGGTTTAATGAAGACAGAACTTCAGTAAAAGAGTTGATTCATTCTCTACTACACTTAATCTGTACAGAAGTAGTGTAGGAAAACCCCTGATTTCAATATAAACTATGCTTTAAAGAATTCAGTAGACTGGCACGTAAGACACTAGTTCCATCCCTAAAGACAGTAACTCTTCAAAATCAGACCACTGCTACAGCTCTTTCTAGACACAGAAAGAGTTATTATATAGACATATAATATGTTTAAAATATAAAGACTTGCTTATTAATTTCCATATAAGAAAAAGGTAAGGTATTGAAGATTGCTGGATCAGCAGTATGGAAAATCTGTGTCTACCTGAAAGAGACTTCATGGAACTAAGATCTTCTTGACTTATTACCAAACATACTGAAATGGAAGCTAAGAGCTACACCTTACACATTTTACTTACTGGAATAAATTGATATAGGTTTCAACATCTCTCATGTCACTTTGTCTCCAGTTTTTCTTAAATCCAACAACAAGGGTGTTAGGTCTCATTCTACCCAGACCAGCAGCCTAAGAAGAACAAAAAAATATTTTTTAAAAACCATGTTACTGAAACAACTAAAGGTTCTATTATTTTCTTAAGCAGAAAACAAAGTATTTTCATCAAAGTTTTAAGGTAACTTTGTCAAATGAAAATATTTCGAAGTATAAAAACACTTCCAATTTTGATTTTCATCTTCACCACTTCCATTAAAAAAAAAAAAAAAATTTAAGAGAGGTGTACCTGCATTAAGTATTGTCT